CGACGACGGACCTGCTGGACTTCCCTGTTCATGAGGTTGTAATTGAGGTGATAGACCACAAGTATGGATAGGACCACAAAAGGCAAGATCACACTGTCCGATCCACTGCAGTGAGCACACCCTCCGCTGCTGTGATAGAACCTACATATTGCATCGACCAGAGGGATGACGTTATCGAGTTACCCGGGCTCACAGAGGGCGCATACCAGGCCGATACGATGCTCCGAGCACAGGTCGCCTATTGGACCTAATGTATAGATAGCATTCCTTTCAGTGATCACGAGACCTACCTCCAGGGCACTCCCTCCCGCTGAGACACTTGCGTAGCCTCATAGGCTCCATCGGAGTAGCCCACATCCCCGACGGCACCACGGGCCGCGTGTGATAAGCTATCTAAACCAATTCCGGCTCGGATTGCCCCCCACGAGTGAGTGATTTCATCTGACTTTATATGGACCTTCACCACGCCATTCCACCCCTCCCCTGCAGGTCATTCCCTCAGGACACGCCTCACACGGGGCAAGCTTGCTGGCGTTGGATCCACCATATACTGGGAGTAGTCCTTCCGAAGTGGAGTGGACGACGACGATGACGAAGTAATTCTCGGAGCATACACACCCTTGAACAGATTGTGTGGCCGGACCTATTGTTTTACGCTTGCCCGCCTCCGGACAGGGTATACAACGGGACGAGCCTGAGAGCCACTCATCATCAGGAACACAGTCGAGATTACGGAATTATGGTAGTCTGTCTTACCAAGACTGGGCTCATATGTGCCTATGGGACAAGGCTCACACGCAGTCTGTCCTTCGGTATCAGTGTACGAGCCAGGCAAGCATAGAGGGCATGCTGCCTGCCCTGGAAGCGGCTAAGAACAATATAGTTCAAATGGTTAAAGAGCTGGACCAGATATACAATGGACTCAGTCCGCACAGGTTCGAATCCTGCCAATGTCGTTTATGCCACCGCTGCATACTTGGAACTCTCCCTTTGAGCAATTCTTGCACCCCTCGAATGAGTCCAAGTACCTTCCAGCCGCACAACATGACAGCTCTTGCGATGGCTAAGGAAGAGGATCCGCTCTGGCGCGGACTTCAAATATGCGGCATAGAACTCACATCGCACAGATATTGTGTGTATGCCGATTTTGATGCAAGTAGTAGTAGTAGTAGTAGCAGGAGAGAGAGTGCTAGCGGTCTCCACCTCGCAACAGAGAACGGCATGTATCGGCCTGGGAAAATGAGTATGCTGTATGAGTATGCATGAGAGTATGCATGAGAGTATGCTAGCATGAGTAAGCTGCATGAATAAGTAGCTAGAGTATGCTGCATCGCATGAGAGTATGCTCAATCTAGTGCATATCGACGAGGCGCACTGCACGCAAGAGTAACACCAGAGGACAGTGGAAACTTTCTTTTTTCTGTTGCCAAATGTTCTGAATAAAATGCAATGTTGGTTTCATATAATACTTGGGGCACCATGGGGTAGTCACTGGCTGCGGGGATCGTCGGGAAATCACCACCATTTTCAGAAACCCGACAGTAGTACTTTTACCATTATCACGCGTGTCATAGCTTCACATCAGCGACGACTGGACCCATGTACTGACCTGGGCCTGCAACTCTTCCGTTTGCTTGTGCGTGTACAACTTACGAAGTAACGTAATATTAGAAGCGATAGACGTAGCTAGCATTCACCAGAGGCAATTTGTGGTGAGAGGATGTGACATCTTCCCACAGTACGTTCGTCACCTCAGCCAACACACTTTGCTTCTCTCCAAGCATCTCCTCCTGGCCTCGGTCGAGACTTGACCCACTGTGCTGTTTCCACAACTTCTCCGATACATCTCTACTGCGGATCTCTTCCTTTTGAGCAGTAGCTATCTCGGATAACTGCAATGGATTCACTCGAGTGATTATAGCAGTAACCAGTCGGAGGTACCTGACTCCTACTGAGGGAGTCCTCACCAGCCTATGCTCCTGATTTCATTTAGTATCCCGGATCGCCTTACCCATCCGCCTCTCATCATAATACTCGGCCACCACAAAGCTCTACAGATGCATCAGCTACCCTCAGCAGTCGCACACCATCACATTACCTTTTTCGCGGGTTCTGTCCACTCCCTCACTATACGTACGCTACTGCTATTGGTCAACAGCTCGGTCACTGCTGCTGGGCAAACAGGCCGAACTAAACCCGGTACAATCTGCCATCTACTGTCACTAAAATCACAATCGCCCATTGAGACTACCACAACGGCCAAGTGAGTCGGATTGAGGTCATCCTTCTGCTCCTCCTCCTCGTTGATCGCATCCTGACGGCTACCGAATACTCCGCGTAATGAGAAACTCAATAGTAAGGCATGCGATACAGAAACAATAACACAAGCGTGTTAGTCAGATGCTGACTGGAGGCACTTCGCAGCTCCGGACAAGAATCGGTCGGTCATATTGCCATACCTGATACCACATAGACACATGGAAGGAGAGCTGTGCTACGCCATACTTTGGTCCTCTCGCTGAATTGCCGAAATATATGGCATGGAGGACGTGGATGAGTACAGTGCCTACACAAGGACCAGAGATCACTACGGCTCTAAAGCCGTTGTTGCTACTACTACCACGTATGTCTGCCTCCACTTCGCCATTGAACTTCACTACTACTCGACGTTCACTCGGGAGGCACTGCACCTATAATTAGTGACATAGTCTGTACTGTGGCCGGGTTGATGACGATTATCCCCCTACCTCTAGCACATCGCCCTTCTGCAGCTCCTTCCCCTTCAATACAGCGATGAACTCCGACACTTGCTCTTGAGCAGGCCTCTGCCTACCCGACACTTCTATCACGTCCAAGTACGAGTTCATAGATCTCTCGAACCCCTGTCGGACATGCCTGAGGGGTACAGCCACCACACTCACTACAGTACGAATAGGAGAGAAGTAGCACTTAGAGTCCTTCTTAGTGATGAAATTAAAATAAAAAGTCTTTTCTACTGCCGGCCCAAAGACACTATCAGTAGAGCCACCGTCCGCCTTGACCCGATTCAAATGGGCCTCAGAGACGTATATGCCTACAACGGCAACACGCTGTGCTCCACCTCAGCTCCATGCTGCTGCTGCTACCTAGGGCATAGGCTCGGGCGGGAGGGAACCAACAGAGATTCTGCATGCATCTAGGCGCGGCACCGACAATGACGTGTGATCTGTAGGAAGTCCGGAAGGAAGGTCCGAGACTGCGTAGTACCTCAGGTTGGGAGGCACACCGACGGCTATCTTCGTAGGGAACTGCACTCCGAGGGTTTCCTCAATGTAAGGGGTGTCGTCGCGGAAGCTGGAGTAGCTGAGGAGGGCACGAGGACAGACTATCCATCACAAGGCATTGCCCCACTCAGGCACAGCCCTTCGTATTATCATCGGCCCTGCAGTCTCGTAACAGAAGGTTGCCCCTCCCACTACTAGGAGGCCCGATGCAGCTAGGGTACCCGTAGCAGCAACAGCCACCTTGGCCACCTCTACCATCCTCTGCTTGAGGAAGTGACGGGCGAAGGTAGACATTGTGAGATGAGCACAACTCCCTAGCCGAATGCTTGCCATATCACCTCCCTGACCCTCCGGAGAATATCAGCAGACAGAGTCTATCATGAACCCCCACGTAGTACTATCGAAAAGCTAAAGCCCTCCTGACACAGCTATTGAGGTCATAGTCGATCGAAGGTGCATTCAAGCGGTTAGTAGTGGTGGTCATCCTTCGCTACTGTCGCTACTCTAAGCCAACCCCTTCCCCTCACATATGCCAAGTATCCTCCGAGTGAACCTCAATAAGTAGCAATTCGCCGTCACTTATCTTCACCTCAAGAACAGTAGTAGGTCCTCAAGATGTGGACAGACTTAGTTCCTAATGACTGCTGCTTCTTATTAGCTCCAACGCATCTCCTCTTAACATCAACGTGAAGCATGATCATCCACAGTCGTCCCTATGCCCAGGTGCCTCTCCAAACGTCGCAGCCTGTCTTGCAAATCCTCGAGATCAGCAATCAGGTTCTGAGAGTAGAAAGGCAACCCCCGTCCACGACATCAGTATAGGTACTTTGATACGTCCACTGCGAGCCTTCCCCTGCTTGACCATCACCGGATAGTCGCCACGGTGAGCCTCTACAACTTCCATCAGCTCCTACCAAGGCACCATCATAGCCATACCGATCTCTTGCAGTAGGGGCGTATTCACTGCCCCTCCTTCAAGACACCGAGCAGCCTTGCCTACCTACCCGGTGGTGAGTCCGGGCTGCTACTAGTAGTCCCTCTCGAGCCTCACTAAGAGAGCGGCTCAGTACCTTATCCACCTACGACAAGGGACAAGATCCAGCCACGTTGGATCAGTCTGGTGGGGACCATTGCTGCTGCCTTCACGGCTCTCCCTCGCAGACGGTCAGATACCACCACAAGGCGCTCAGACTCAGCCATTCTCTGTCTGGCTAGATCCTCTAGCCCCTCCACCTGTTCGACCAGTCCGCCATTGACCATGGCTACATCCGAGACTACCCGCTACAATGTGCCATTCACTGCACAACTCAACGCGATATGCGATAGCGATAGAAAGTGCTCATAATAGCTGAGAAAAATAAGAGATTCCATGAACCGGGAGAAGGATTATTCAAAGGTCCGCGTCTTCCTCATCATCGGGATCTTCGGGATGACCTCGAAAGTAATCAATATCCTCCCGAAGGACCAACCCCCAGCAGTTAAGACACTACCCGTCTCAGCTGCATCCCCAATGTTCTCTGCACCCTCCTCTCCCTCATCACCAATAGGGTCCTCCTAAGAACACCATTATTGGCGGTCACTACTGAGTGAGTGACGACAACAACATAGTTCGGCAAGAGCAACTACCAGAGACCCACCGGAAGCAGTAGCACGGTCAGGCTCTGGATGAACGGATGAGCTCTAAGACTTGTAAACTTTTCCATGTCTTCCAGAGCCTCTTCCAACTGAGACCAGGAGACAGATCGAAACTATGCGGAGTGGGCCCACATAGGGCATCCACTCCTTAAAGAACGATCAATCACTCAGATGCTATACTACCTCTTCCATGCTTATCTTTCCATCGCCGTCTCCATCGATCAGCTCTAACAAGTTGCGGCCAGGTTCAAGATGCGCGCTCTCGAGATCGCGGCTGTATACCTCGAATTCCTCCAAGCTCCAGTACCCATCTCCTACAAGGAGTCAACCATCAATGCTACCCAACGAGCAGCTCGGCACACTCGCCGCCTCACCATCAGCATCGTATTTCCTAAACTCGCTCCCTTCTACCTCACCAGCATCGTCGGCACCATGCTTCTAGCATTGAAAGGCACATTGAAACCCGGCATATTCCCATCGATGCCTACCTCTTTAAGGGCCTCGTTCGCATCAAGTTTGCCATCCTGATTGAGATCCCTATACGTGAAGTCTGTCACCACGACAGTCTACAAGCAGCCAACAAGTGATCAACGTAGACTGGGTGGTACCCAGCTCAACTGACCTCGGCCAGATCAGACCCCGGAGTAGGGATGAAGAATGAGACGAATTCATCGAAGCTCAAGTGGCCGTCAGAATCGACATCTCCAACTCTGAAAAGCTTTTCAAGGGAGTGTGTGTTAGCCTCTATCTGATAGCATGAACCATGACGAGTTCTTCTACACCATTAGCACCTACCCACTGCTGGCGGAGTTCACCAGATGGACCACCTACGCATGTGAAAATGTGTGATCCGGTCGCCGCTGCTACCAACACCATCACCCACCTTCACCCAAGTCGTAGAGAGCCAAGAGTTCTTCCAAACTCACTGCCCCATCTCCATCCGTATCGAACGAGCTCTTATCAGCTTCGATCTGAGAGACTATCATCGCAGTACAAGCTACTCAAACGATGGAACCTGCTGACGGAACTCGAGCCTCGCAGTTTTCCGAGTGACTTCCCCCATCTCCTCTAGAGTCACCAAACCATCCCTGAGGTGATGCGTATTCGGACTCCAACGTGGTCGTAGCTCACTCATCGATATCAAGATGCTTTTCGAACAAAGTGAGGATTTGATCTTTCTCGAGAGGACGCATGCCACCCATCATATAATCATTATAATCTCCGTCGAAGGTCTCATCTTCTCCAATCTCAGCATCCCAATCTTCATCAGAGAGGTCCTCCTCCGCCGTTGCTCTCCCAAGGAGCAGGTAGCAGCCGATGAAAAACGAAAGGCGTACGAAATGCATCGTAAAAAACCTGCGGGGTCTCTTGGATCAAGACTGAATCTTTTTCCGGGGAGAATACGCGCATTGATTGAGACAATAAGAGAATTCTCGAAGACTCCATACCCTTATCCACACTGCTCCGTCTGTAAATGCCCATATACTATATGGCATATAGTAGCAAACGCCCGACCTCAGGTGAGGGAAGCACCCTGTCTTATCAATACCAACTCAAAGGCGTCTTATATTGTATCTCTGTGTACTATTAATTTTAAGTCTATCTCTATAGATTTAAAGGTATACTCCACGGAATGAAAGGTCAGCTTCGAAATGAAAGTTTGATTCTCGTAGACCGGTCGAAAGTGAAAGTTCAAGTTCGTAAATGAAATTTATGAATTCGGAAACGCAAGTTCAAATTCGTCCAACACAAGACCAATTTCGTCGAAAATCAAATCTCAGTGAGAAGAAAAAAGAGAAGATGTCCAGGACTTTTCCAAGTGGATGACGAAACGGTGTTGGAACATATGTTCGCTTTCCTCAACTGAGCTCAGAATTTTCCCCACTTATTATAGGGGTTTATATACGAAGTGGGGTAGAAATGTACGGAAAAACCAATGAGAATTTCCCAAAATTTCCTCAAAATTTCATATCGTCGGCCACGCATGCAGTTGACCATGTGCATACTCCCCCCCCCT